CCCAAAATTCCCCCAAAATCCCCAAAATTCCCCCAAAATCCCCAAAATTCCCCCCAAAATTCCCCAAAATTCCTCCCAAAATCCCCGAATTTTCCCAAAATCCCCCCAAAATTCCCCCCAAAATTCCCAAATTTTCCCCAAAATTCCCAAATTTTCCCCAAATCCCCGGAATTTCCCCCGAAACCGGCGCAGGTCGAGGAGATCCGGGGCTGCATCGAGAAACTCTCGGAGGACGTGGAGCAGGTGAAGAAACAGCACAGCGCCATCCTGGCGGCGCCAAATCCTGACGAGAGTGAGTCATTAACGAGCTCGTTAACGAGATCGGGCTAATTAGCATCGACAGGGCTCGTTAACGGGGTCACTGAGTCACTATTGGGGTCATTAAGGAGGTCGCTGCTCGTTAACGGGGTCGTTAATGGGGTGATTGGGTAATTAACCGGTCACTGAGTGGTCACTCACCGGTCACTCACCGGTCATTAATGGGGTCATTCGGTCATTACTGGGGTCATTAATGGGGTCATCAATGGGGTAATTAATGGGGTGATTGGGTAATTAACTGGTCACTGAGTGGTCACTCACTGGTCACTCACCGGTCACTCACTGGTCATTAATGGGGTCATTAATGGGGTCATTGGGTCATTAATGGGGTAATTAATGGGGTCATTGGGTAATTAATCAGTCACTGAGTGGTCAGTGAGTGGTCAGTGAGTGGTCAGTGAGTGGTCAGTGAGTGGTCACTCACTGGTCACTCACTGGTCATTAGTGGGGTCATTAACGGGATCATTAAGGGGGTCATTAATGGGGTCACTGGGTCATTATTGGGGTCATTAATGGGGTCATTAATGGGGTCATTAATGGGGTCACTCACCGGTCACGCACTGGTCACTCACTGGTCACTCTCTGGTCACTCACTGACCATTACTGGTCCCTGGTCACTCACTGCTCATTAAAGGGGTCATTAATGGGGTCATTGGGTCATTAATGGGGTCATTAATGGGGTCATTAATGGGGTCACTCACCGGTCACTCACCGGTCACTCACTGGTCACTCACTGGTCATTAGTGGGGTCATTAACGCCATCATTAAGGGGGTCATTAATGGGGTCATTGGGTCATTAATGGGGTCATTATTGGGGTCATTAATGGGGTCATTAATGGGGTCATTAATGGGGTCACTCACCGGTCACTCACTGGTCTCTCACTGGTCACTCTCTGGTCACTCACTGACCATCACTGACCATTACTGGTCCCTGGTCACTCACTGCTCATTAAAGGGGTCATTAATGGGGTAATTAACCGGTCACTCACCGGTCACTCACCGGTCACTCACTGGTCACTCTCTGGTCACTCACAGAGACCAAGCAGGAGCTCGAGGACCTCACGGCCGACATCAAGAAAACGGCCAACAAAGTGCGCTCCAAGTTGAAAGGTGAGTGACCACTGCGGCCACTGAGTGACCACTGCGGCCACCGAGTGACCACTGCGGCCACTGAGTGACCACTGCCACCCCTTCCCCCCCCTGTGACTCCTCCGGCCACTGAATGACCACTGCGGCCACTGAGTGACCACTGCCACCCCTCCCTCCCCCTGCGGCCACTGAGTGACCACTGCGGACACTGCAACCCCTCCGGCCACTGAGTGACCACTGCGGCCCCTCCCCCACCCTGCGGCTGCAGAGTGACCGCTGTCCCCGAGTGACCGCTGCCCCCGAGTGGCCACAGAGTGACCACTGTCCCCGAGTGGCCGCAGGGTGGCCGCTGTCCCCGAGTGACCACTGTCCCCGAGTGGCCGCAGGGTGGCCGCTGTCCCCGAGTGACCACTGCCCCCGAGTGGCCGCAGGGTGTCCGCAGAGTGACCGCTGTCCCCGAGTGGCTGCAGAGTGACCGCTGCCCCCGAGCGGCCGCAGAGTGACCGCTGTCCCTGAGTGGCCGCAGGGTGACCGCAGAGTGACCGCTGTCCCCGAGTGACCACTGTCCCCAAGTGACCGCTGTCCCCGAGTGGCCGCAGAGTGACCGCTGTCCCTCCGGCCGCAGCCATCGAGCAGAGCATCGAGCAGGAGGAGGGGCTCAATCGCTCCTCGGCCGATCTGCGCATCCGCAAGACGCAGGTGAGGCCGAAGGCTTCGGCGTCGGCATCGTCGTGACGTCATCGTCATCGTCATTGTCATCATCGTCATGACGTCATCGTCATCATCATCGTCATCATCGACATCTTCATCATGACGTCATTGTCTTAATAATCATCATTATCATCATGTCATCATCTTCATCATCATCATCATCATCTTTGTCATTATCATCATCATCATGACGTCATCGTCATCATTGTCATGATGTCATCATCGTCATCGTCGTCATCGTCATCATCATCATCGTCATCATCATCATGACGTCATCGTCATCATTGTCATGATGTCATCATCGTCATCGTCGTCATTGTCATCATCATCATCGTCATCATCGTCATGATGTCATCATCGTCATCGTCGTCATTGTCATCATCATCATCGTCATCATCGTCATGATGTCATCATCATCATGACGTCATCGTCATCGTCATCGTCATCATCGTCATCGTTGTCATGACGTCGTCTTAATCATCATCATCATCATGATGTCATCATCTTAATAATCATCATTATCATCATCTTCATCATCATCGTCATCATC